GTGGGATCCATTAAATATAAATCATTCTGGTTGTTGGAGAAATGCTGCAGCAGCTTCCTGTTTGTTCTTGTCTGTCAGCAGTCAGTGCAGCAGCTGAGCCAATCATTGACTGATGATATGAACATTTAGCCAATCAGGTGATGAGACGCACTTTGCAAAGCACTCTGGGTGAAAGCTCCATATAAACATGCAGTCAGGAAGCCAGCAGGGGGCAGCGCAGGAGCTTCTCTTTGTTCACAGGAGGGAAAAAATCCTGTGGATGAAAGAAGAGCTCCATCATCACTGCTGAGAGCACAAAGTGAGAGTTACACCAGGAAACATCCAGAGAGGAAAACTGAACTGTGGCAGCAATATTTCAGAGACACCAAGTGAGTGTCCTGCAGAGTGTGACAAACTGTTCTACTGCATCTGTACGTAAACTAGAAACTTTAGATCAGTTCCAGCAGGTTATTTTATTAAAAACATCTCACAGACACATTCAGGTTCTTCTGGGAATAAAAGATGCCTTGGCTGTGCTGTTTGGTAGATGTATGATTTGTCCAATAGGACTGGTCATTCTAGCTTTCAGTGTCAGTTACAGCAAATCAATAATTTTACAAATGCACCCATATTAATACATTGTACATTTTCAACCAACAGTGAGCCTTTGATTTTCCCTCAACCTTTAATGCAGCTTAATGCTTGAGTGTCCTCATATGTCCTTCTAGTTTTGCAGTACTGCTGCAATAATGAAACCTGTCAGTGAAGTGTTTTATCACCAACACACAACTGAGCCATGTTTTAGCCATCTGTTTTGAAATAACAGGTTTGTTACAATAAAGATTCATTTCAGATATTTTCATTTCATTTAGCTGATGCTTTTATCCAAAGTCACTTACAATTGCTTTACGTGTCAGAGGTCACACGCCTCTGGAGCAACGAGGGGTTAAGTGTCTTGCTCAGGGACCAATTGGTGGATGGTCACAGTCAGGGTTGGGAGGGTTACTTTCAAAATGTAATCCTGTACAATTACTAATTACTTGTTAAATGTAAACAGTGATGTAATCCAAGTACTTTTAGTTACTTTTGGATTACTTCAATGCCAAATACGCAAATATAAACATGAGAGTATCAAAGATGTTTTGTCTGCTCAATGTATTTTTAGAGAAACATACAATTATAAAATATCCCATTCCCATGAAATCAAAATGGATATTTAAATGTTTTTATATGATTTACCTTGCACTGGGCCTGTACTTCATCTGGCCCATCAATGACAAAAATGTTGTTTTGTAGGTGTTCTTGAAGATATTTTAGATTGTGTAATTTCCTGGAAAACGATTTTAAATGTTGATAAATCATCCTGCACTGGGGAACACATTGATTTTGCTGAAACTGGATCATATTTGATGGAAAATATTTCCTGGTTTTCCTGTTTGTAATCACAATTTTTACAAAACGTACCTGTAATCTGATTATGTCTGTTGTTTTCTGTACTGTAACGGAATACAGTTACTTTATATATGTAATCCGTTACTCCTACATTCTCATGAGGAGTTTAGCACCCCTAAAGGTTTGGTCCCAGAGTCACCCCTGTCTCAAAATAAGAAGTGCTCCAGGTTTGCAGGTTTCTCCAAGACACAACTGAAATGGGTTCCCAAATATAACCTTCTGTGGCGTTAATATACAGAGGCAGTCCCTCCAAGTAAAGTTTGTGTGATAGAGAGAGAGGGCCACAGAATACATGAACACCACTGGTAAAATGTGTTTCAGATATCCAACAGAAAAGCATTACTGGCGCAAGAACAAAAAAATAAGAAGACATCTGACAACCAAACAGCAGGGGTGGAAAAACTACTAGAATATTCAAGATGAGATAGAAATGTTTGATCTCACACTGGGGAATATCACTTTTTACTGCAGCTCCAGATACAACAGAACTGATAAGAAAATACACTTTAAATAATAGTAGAATAGAAATATAACAGAATTTGAAAAGTAAGAATAAGAGTTATATATACTCTGTTAACGTTATACATATATAACCCAAATATTCCAACTCATTCTACCTTTATATTAAAGGCCAGCTTTATGATGCAAAACAAAACTTAATAGAGGTCCTTGAGGTTCTTGAGAGTTGGTGTGGATGATCCCTGTGAAAGAGTAACCGCCCAAACAGGATGCTCTAAGTCAATAAAATGCGCCCGCAACGAGGCGAGAGAAACAATATAATTTAATTTGTCAGCACTACATGTGGCATTCTTTGGTCGGGGGATTTTGACAAGGTTATTGATTTGTGTTTGTTTCATTAGTTTTTTGTTTTGTACCAATTAAATTTTAGAAGAAATAAAAAAATGCTCAATAAATAAATAAATCCTATTAAATGCACCAAAAGTAAATAAAAAAATTAGAGCTGCAAGCAGCGATGGCCGGGTCCTTGCACCACAGATGTGCCGTTGCTCTCCCGACGGGGTTCTGAATTGTCACGCGTCAGTCAGTGGCGCCAGTCACGTATGTGTCAGTACATCACGTGTGGAACACATTGTTATTGTTATTATACTTCTTATTATACTTCATTTTATATATACCTTTTAAATGTATTTAAGTGTTTTCTTGCTTTTCTGGTGTATTAGTTTTTATGTGTTTTATTGCCTTTGCACTTGTTAAAGTACTTTGTAACTTATTTTTGAAAATTATTAGTATTTTTGTTATTTTTATTTTGAAAATCTTATTTAAATTGAATAGTGAGTGTCAGACAGAGTTTACTTCCTGCTGCCAGTACGTGGCGCTACAACTATAAATGTAGATTGGTGTGTAGATGTGTTTGGGGCGGGACCATTATCAAGCAAGTTATGACTACTTCCTGTTTCATGGCAAAGCGTGGTACTTTGCCATTGAAGCAAAACTCACAACCTTTACAACAAGACATCACCAATGTGTTAAGGGTCTGAGCTGGTTTTGAAGTAGATATGGCCAACTTGCAAGAAGTGATTCATCACAGCATTGAAGTAGTCACTTCCTGTTGTGCCACAGAAATTTAGTTCATGTAGGTAAAACGCGCTGCATAGGCTGCTTCATTGAAGGTCACTTCCTGTTGCCAGCAGGTGACGCTATGACTATGGGTGAAAGTGTTGCAGTATGAGAATCTGACCTGAAGAGAGGCTTTCAAGGTGGTGACTTGAACATTTTCAGGTGACTGGGACTGATCGCTGTCATCTATCCGATTCTGTGCCGGTTACATCTTTCGTTATGCAGTCTATGGTCTACATGCAGACTGCGCTGCACAGTGTTTCATATAATGTACGCAGCAGCACAGAAAGATGTTGTTATTGTGGAAGTTGTTCACAAAACAATTCGTTATGCATCTATAGGAATGTTTTGTTATTAATTCTCGTGCTGTGTGTGTCTTCACTCGTAAACAAACCTCGATCCGTCAGCGATCTCTGACGGCCCTGCTGCTGCCTCTGTCTTCCTAGACCCCCCGCACCACGTTACTGCTCATCTCTCTCGGTGTAACAAATGGGTCGAGGAAAGACAGGACCGCAGAGTCCTTCAAGCTTTTGACTGGCCCTGCTGCTGACGCACTTCTCCCTCTCCATCTTCTTCTCCTTCAAAGTCTCCTTCCTCTGACAAGAAACACACATAAACATGAAGAGTTGAACACTGTTCACTTGTTTTGACGGCAAGGAACCCTTCGGTTTTGGAAATGTGCTAATGCTAGTGCTAACTTGATTCATAGTAAATTACAACTCAGCTGTAATCAAGCAGACACGCATTTGTCCAGATAGCCCATCTTACTCCAAACGATCTCCTTTTCAGTCCTGTCTCCATAAATTTATGACGCTGTCAGTCATTTTGATTTCTTCTGATCCACGTACAGCCGCCTACCTCACCTCCTACGTCAGTGACGTCCGGGCAGTCTCAATGTTAATAGGCTTTTGCAACATAGCGTCATGCGAAAACTTTGAACTCGCGCAAACAAGCAAAGTGTCGCACCAAACACATCTTCTGCATCGATTTGCGTTTTTGCATTCACTTTGCATGTAACCAAGCCATGCGGAACGCTCACTTTGCGTTTGTATGTGAGCACCCCATAGTGAAAGCTCTTTGTTCAGAGTAACCTGTCGCACTGCCAGTGTGAAGGACTGAAGCAGGAAACTAAAAAACAAATATCATCATGTTTCCTTCTAGCTCGATCTCATTTGGGAGGCAAAAAAGCACGACTGAGCATGTTTACCCTGAAACCTCAGACGGTGGCTTCACTGACCTTCTGTGTTTGTCAAAGGTCAGCAGGTAGTTATATTTATATTATTATAGATGATTATTTGTTTGTTTCTCTGAACACTGAGGGACCTGAATGTGATGTTAACACATGACAGGCTGGTTCCTGATGAGACTGTGATGCAGAAAACAAACATTACTTATTTAACATGACGTCTGTCTGTTGGCAACATGTTGATCACAGCTCATCATCTACTGCCTGTTAAATGTTTTATGTGGTGATACTTCAGTTTGAAAGGTAACAGCACACTGTTTTCTCTTCCTGACTCCACAAAATAAATTGAAATTAAAGCAGGTTTAACTTTGTGTCTTTGAGCAGCAGCAGGAAAACTTGTCTCCTCCCTCATGATACAGTCTGCAGTATTTCTGATCAAAAGATGTTTGACTGACTGATTTGAATCCCAAATGTGGAGGCAAAGTGTTTCAGCTGCTGTTGAACTCAGAGCTGATCAGGAGCTTCAAACTCTGACTTTCTGCTTTAAGAAGGAAACAACACGTTCTCATGCCAGGACTTCAGCAGGGTTTCCTCTGTGTACTGTTTAAATTACTGCAAACACTGCTTCAGATTTTTATGAAATGTCATGAAGTCACAATTACACGACTCTGTGAAGGCTTTTAGTTTGACACGTCAGTAAAGACACACTGGTGATACGCACTCGGCGGCCGCAGTACTAACTCTGACATGGGTGAACATGAGACAGACAGCAGAGATGAAGGCAAAACTGAGATGAGTCAAAGCAGCCGAGGTGATTATTTTATTTGATGATTAGATAGGTGTTTCAGTTTTGAAAATGTATGAAATGATTTGTCCAGAGAGTGGGCTGACAAGGGACAAATGTTGGCCTGCCCCCTCTGCTGAAAAATATCCTGGAGGAAAAAGTGTTTCAGTGTCCGTCAACTAACTCCAATGCAATCCATTTTCCTCAGGTGACAGAACCAAAAGTCAAGGTTGAGTTATTTAAACTTTGAAGTTACACACATTACAGATCAGAGATGAAGTCAAGTCCACATCAGCACGTTCAGTCCACCAATCAGCAGCCAGAGAGTAACAACCAATCACTGCTCCCCACAGTAACCAGAGTGACTTCAGTCTGGATCCTCTCTTCATCACACGTCTCTACAACAGCCTTCATAAAAAGACTTGAAATCATTTAAAAACATGTTGATGATCTGACTGCAGCTGGAAAACAGTCACAGCTGATGATCCAGCTACAGTCAGTCACATCTGCCTCCACCTTTTAGATACTTCTGGATTTATTTCATGGGAGACACATGAGACACATTTACTCACTAATTCTCATCTGCTGGCTCTGCTTCCTGCATCGGCTCATTTTCAGGAGCAGCAGGTTGGTCTGAATTATTGTCTTTGCATTCTCTACATTTTGTAAAGTTCTTATTTAAAAAAAACAAACACCAAAAACAACACCAACAAAAAGAATCACAACAAATGACAAACAACAACAAACTTTCAGTCCCACATTTCCCTCCTTGTTTCCTCCGTCCTTGCCTCCTCTGTTCTCGTGTCCAGCTGTGTGACCTGCAGAGCAGAAACAGGCGAGAGATATCAGCTGTTGCTCACCTGAGAGACAAAGAGACACTCTGAGCTCTACACGCTGACCTGAGAGACAAAGAGACACTCTGAGCTCTACACGCTCACCTGAGAGACAAAGAGACACTCTGAGCTCTACACGCTCACCTGAGAGACAAAGAGACACTCTGAGCTCTACACGCTCACCTGAGAGACAAAGAGACACTCTGAGCTCTACACACTCACCTGAGAGACAAAGAGACACTCGACTCACGATGGTGACGAGTTCAGCTTTGCCTTTTTCATTTTCCCCTTTAACACGACACTCATATGTTCCAGCGTCGTTGATGTTGACGTTCTTCAGAATCACAGAAGCGTCTCCGTCCTTCATCTCTGGATCTCTCAGCTCCACTCGACCACGATAAGATTCATGCTGGTAGTTTTCATTTGAGCTTCTGTCTCTGAAGAAGAAGACATAACCATCATCTGACTTCAGGTCAGTTCTGATCCACTTTATCACTTCTATGTCAGCACCTCTGTGACTCTGACACTGAAGAGTGGCGTCCTCTCCAGGCTTCACTGTCACCTCCTGTGTCTCTGAACAGAAAGAGAAAAGCGTCCAGTCAGGACTTGTAATGTTTCCTGTTGTTCAAACATCTTTTGATGGAAGCAGCAGAGATCAGGTCTCTATAAAACAGCACATGTGAACTCAGCAGCATTTCAAACCCTGTTCTCAGACAGTAACTAGGTGTTCAAAACAACCAGTTTAAAAACTCAAATCTGATTTTAGTAAAACTCTGAATGCCTACATTTTGCTGTCCTGTTTTTTGTGGGAAATGGAAATCACTTCAGGGTCATTAATATACTATTGTGTAATTTTACATGTGATTCTGATTGTTCTTGCCTTGTGATTCTAAAAGTTAAATTGTATTAGACACTTACAAATGTCTATAGAGCTGTTGGTTGCAAATACATATTGTAAAAGTAATCAAGTCCTTTCCCTCTCAAATTCATATTTTGTGCAGGAGAATATGGCTTCAGTGATTTGCTTGCTATGATGCTCATTGACAAGGTTTCTACAACTTTGCCTCATCATCTGTCTGGGCTAACGGCAAGTAAAGCCACTCAAAAACATTTGTTGTGTGACCGTTATTTTTTTTGTTTACATATTATTTAATTCATATCCAGGTTGATGATCTGTGCTGCTCTTTAGGTTATGTTCAATGTTTGGAGAGGAGTTCAACCAGTTTTCTAGAATATGTACTCTCATGACTTTCAGCCAACCAGCTGACCCTCAGACAGTTTTGTGTCTTCATGTGGTGTGAGGTAGTTTTATCAGGACAAATTCATTGTGTGTTCTGTGGAAGTTTTACAAAATTTGCAGTATTTGTGTGTTCTGCAGCCATATTGATCAATGGCTGTGATGCTGCTGGTTATATCAGAGCAGCGTTTTTGGGTCAGGGCCCCCCTATCCATTGTCCGGGTCGGTCCTCATCCCCACATCAAAAAAGATGTTGGCTATTTCCTCTGAATATTATTGATATTGATTAATATTATTGTTGTTGCCCAATGTCAGCTGGGATTGACTCCAGCACCCCCCGCGACCCTGTACGCAGGATAAGCGGTTGATGATGGATGTTACTATTGTTATTAAAAAACTAGAAAAAGTACATAATTGAATGAAAAATAACAATTTTATTACTTCCCCAGGTAACAAAAAAGCCATGTGAATAGTAATTATATTTACTTAACAAGTGAGTGTTCCTCCCAGAAACTGTTTTCTTGGCTGCTGCACTTAACAAGTGGTGGGGTCTGGGGGGTCCACCCTCCACATAGAAGCTCGTATATAATATGCTTAATAACAAAGCCGTGGTGCAGCTGTAGTCGGTGGATTTAGACCGATAAAAAAAGGGACTGGTAACACAACACCTTGAAACTCCTGTTCCGGCATGCCGGCTATGGCTTTTCACACAGACATCGCTCTGCCTCTGTTACTACCAACATTCCCGGCTCAGAGGCGGATCAAATCGGACCCCGCTTTCCGGCTCGGTACCTTTCACACAGCGCAGCGAGCCGCGACATTGGCGTCATAATCCCGGAAAACTGGGCAGTGTGAAAGCGACTAAAGACTTACCCGAAAGATGCCCCAGCTAACGTTACTGGTGGCGTGGAAAAGCCTCACCGTTACAGGCCTAATACCATATCTCTGAGACAGATCATCTATCACTACCAGCTCATCAATGATGTGCTTACTGATTGTATTTGATAAAAGGTATCATTCTAATGAAAAACCATATATATGTGCCTATGGTTCATACGATAATGTAGAAAATTTAAGGAAATTATTTAATAAGTATGTCCCCTCTAAAGTAAGGACGACTTTAGCATTACAATGAGATTGAAAAAAGTCTCAGTTAGGCTTCTTAAGTCTCAGCTTTTTCACGGCCTGGGTTAACACCTTTGTATACAGTCTATGGTTAACACCCCTTTAGTGTTGTTTTTGGACGTCTGGCAGTCAAGTTAGCAACAATAATATGCAACGTCCGGTTAGGCTTTCAAAATAAAACTAGTGAATAACGTTTTGAAACTGAATGTTACTTGCGTTTCATAGGCAAACGAATAAAAAAACTCAATATTGTAATACAGGAAACAGGTGAAAGTATGGTTCCTTCTCAACCATGTCTCCTCCTTACCATAGACTGTAGCCCACATAAAAAATATGGGCCTTAAAGCAGCGCTAGTTTGACCCTCGGCGCATCCAGTAGTCTCTGCAGTGTGCGCTCACTTTAGTGCCAAATTGCACCGAACAGAGAGAAGCGGGCTAAGACGGAGTTGGAAAAATGAGATCACACTGGCCCAGAAGTGGGTCTTAAGTGTAAAAACACCATCACTAGGGATTTTTTATTGACGTCATTTGCCGAAGGAGTTTTTTTCCCTTGGAAACTCCGGTGAGTATAGTTTGTAACCTTTAGTAGAGAGCTAAAAGTGCAGCGTGAAGCTAGCTTAAATAGGTGGGTTAAAACCATACACTGTAGGTTAAAAGCAGTTGGAGGATGTTGTGAACTGTTGTGTTGGGCAGTAATCTTATTACTTTTCTCCCAGTAACTAAGTAGTGTAACTAATTACTTTTCTAAAACAGTAATATTAGTTACTAAGGCAAGTAACGCTGCGTTACTGGTTACTGAACGCACCTTCCTTGATGTGAATCCACGATTGTGCGGCAGTTCAGCGGGACCAGACTTTGTTGTTCATGTCTGCTGTTAGACAGTTTAGACTGTTTCCACAGCTGTAAGTACCTGCTGCCATTATTGTGTCACAGTCTAAGATGCAAAGAACATTGTCGTCTATTGTAAACTCTGTGCGACCAGCAAAAAGCTTTCAACCGCGAACATTTCTACATTTATTTATTGAAGCATTTGCTGAAGCAGCACAGTGACTTGAAATTTACAGAGAGAAACAGCTGCTGCCACTGATGGTTGGACTTGTCCGGAGAGAGTGTTACTGCTCTTATAAACAGGCTACATGTAAGGCTACACAAACTGCTTTTTAAAAGTCGGGATTTACTCGCTTTATTTTTTTATTTCATCCGGTGGCGTTAAGAAACATTAGGCCTAGGCTATATGCTTTGTAAAAACCACACTCCTTGCTGCTGTTATGGATATGATGTCAGTTAAAAAGTCGGGACAGACTGCTTTGTGTGGGGGTGAAGGGGGTTGGTAGCAGCATTTCCCATAATTTGCCTCTAATTTGGATAATTATCAACGCTGACCCCACATATTAATTTTATATATTGAACTTTTACTAGGCGTATTTAAAATCACTTTTGATTAAGGAGCTGTATTGAGGAGCATATTTATAAGCCCCCCTTCTGTTCAGTATTTTTTGGTTGTAATTTAATGTAATGTAATGCTGAGAGATGGAGAAATTTCATGAATTCATAGTAGTGATGGCTTAAATGCTACCTGGTACAGTTTGGTAACGTTATAACAATGTAAAACTTAAGAACACAACAGGGTGATGAGATTGAGTTTTGACAAACGTGACGAGATCTTATTTGAATAACATTGACTGTGATGATTTATCAGATTTATTCTGCACTATATGTGCAGACTGATTTTTGTAGAGGTCAACTCTTCACTGGGTTCAAATGGCGAGCGAATCCCAGAGATGATGCACCCTGTATACCCAGACATGTTAACTTCAGAGCTCAGACAAAGTGCAGCTCACAGTCCCAAACAGTGAAAGTTTGTTCCTCAGTGTTAAACATTTCATTTTTATATTGAAACTCTACATGTCTCATTACCGCTTGGGAACAAACTGGATGTGAATCTGGCTGCGAGGTGGGTCCACTTGATTAGTATCACGTAGAGGCCTTTAACAAGAGAGTCGCGTCAGTGGGGGTCCAAAATGCTACATCGTCACATGGTTCATGGAGACCGCAGATAGTTCCTGGAAGTCCTAGGCGGGCAAGTGAAAATGAGCGAGAGAAACTTCAAAAGGCTGATTTTAAGTGATTTTTCGTCATTTTATACAATTTTTTACAATATTTGTACAGCACAATGACACGTTTATGTAGTTACATAAGTATTTATTTTTTTAAATAAGGACATATAGGTTTGACAGTAACAAGCACCTACTTTGTTGACATTTTTTGGCTAACCTTACATTCGATAGTGTGTTATTCTTCATGTTTAAAATTCAGATCAGATTTACCTTTCTAACATTCCTTTTCGTAATCCCATGGTACCAGGGTTAATTGATCTCAATGACTTGTAATCTTTATGACTTCAGATAGAACAGACAGGTGACTATCAATGGTTGTCATGTATTAATGTAATAAATCTCCAATAAACTCAGCATGGTAAGTGTTTTTTTCCCCTATGTACTGTCTTACAATAGTTTGGTTTATTAAAAACATCACTGCAGATCATCTTCAGGCTCCACTGAACCCCCTGTGATTTTTGTGCTGAGAGAGGGAGAACAAACGAGAGAGAGGGTTAGACAAACCTACACATCTATAAAGATTCATCCAGGTCATGTTTATCCAAGAAAAGTTGAATCTGGAGCAGCTGGACTTGGTTGTAGATGATTGCTCTCAATTCAACCTTTCTTCTAAATGGCTACACGTTTGATTGAGAAAGTTATGTACTGTTAAATTTTGGAACTTCATTAACAGCTTTTTGCAGCTGATGTTGGCATCAGTTACAAGATAGTTTGTTAGTTAGTGAATGTTTTTATTTTTTCAAACAGTTCTCACATACAGGAACTGTGATGATGATGTGATCTGAATTTGTACAAAGTAATTATGTAATTAGAGTAAACATATCCAGTAGAATCGAGTGTTCACCAATATGGTGCATTCAGCCACTATGTTGTATTAATGTGGGTAAATAAACCTGAATTGTTGTCTGGAAATAAACTCATAAGCTAAGACAGGATGCAGACACTGAAAGAAGGGAAAGAAAATGATTGAACATTTTAAGTATGATTTCTTATAAATGGTAGATTATAATAGGCGTTTACAATCATGTGTTGTTTTCTATCTCACCATGGTCCACTCAGTACTCTTTAGCATCACTGCTCCTCCACCTCGCAGAGTCTACTGCTCTAATATAATTAATGTTTACTATGAAGATAGTCTCTAAGATACTGTTGAGGATCCGGTTTTCACATCTGGACTGGCACTGGGCCAGCTCCATTTATTAGTTCTGGCCTGGATTCACACCACCTCAGGCCTCTTTCATAACCTTGATCTATACCCACAAAACATATACAAAAATATGTTTTTTTTTGTTAAAGGGATAGTTAAAGTTTTTACCATCAGATGTTGTGCATGACACACCAAGTGCTATGGATCCTACTACTAGATAACAGTTAAGGTATATCCTTTCTGTCTGAGAAGCCAAAGGGTTACTGGGTCTTGTTTTTTTTTTTTGTATTATTCTTTACACTTGTTAAAGCACTTTGTAACTTGTTTTTGAAAAGTGCTCTACAATAAGGATTATTATTATTATTATTATTACTGGGATAGTTTATATAATGTATAACAAATAGTGACTTGTATATCACTAAGGTACACTAAGATTTCTTGTTTCTTTCATTTTCGTTTTCCTTGCATTTTAAACTCGATTACTTTTTTCTTTTGAATTTAAAAAGCATGGACAGTCAAAACTACTGTTACACTCTGTTACAAAGACTGTTTCTATTTGTCCTACACAGAATTTCAACAAAGAAAGTGATAGAACGCACGAGTGACACATTTTAAATTTTATTTAAAATACGCATTTTAAATTTTATTTAAAATATTTGAAATGTCTGAGATAAAAAGAGAGGACAGAAACTTAAAACAAAGTAGATAATTGCCAAACTAACATTCAATCTAATAAACACATTTTACAGCTCATTTCTGTCTTTAACAACTGTAGGAACAAGAAACTTCACTCCAGTTGACTTGCAGGTGCAGGTGATTAGTTTCTAGTAACCGTACAGTAACCACACACCTATGACACAGGTGTTATTTTTAAATGAATGCAGAAGTATTAAACTCTAATAATAGCAACAGTGTGGCTTAGTTAAAAAGCTCAATACATTGACATTGCTATCAGTCTTGCATAGTGTAGTGTACCATTAGTAATGATGATAGTAAGAAAGTAAGATTTCTTTCTCCCTGAGAGAGATGAGAAGATATATACCACACTCATGATACCATACTCTACATATAAAGCTAAAGCCAGGAGACACACGAGATTCTACGGCCTAAACACACAAGATAACGTTTTAATTAGCGACAAGCGATAAGTTTGTCTTGATAGATGATTACTGCCAGCCATTAGATTTTAACCATTTTCCATGACCATGGTATAAATAATAAAGATTTTATAATACAATATCCAACTCCAACTAGTCATGTGAAACCCAGAAAACTGTAAAATGTTCATACACATTGTTTTGGTGGCTTTACGGGAAACACTGATGAGGCAAGTGGAGAAGTGGGAATGCCATAACCCTCACATGACACCCATCAAATCATCAGTAGTGGAAGAGTGGGGGATGGCCGATGTGTTCATTTCTGCAAAGGATAAAAGAATGTGTGATTACTCAACTGATAATGGAAATCACAAATTACATAACATCCACAGAGATTAGTAATTTTAAAGGGGGCTGGACTAGACTAGGGCTGGAAGATTTGACCTAAAATCAAAATCCCAATTAAGAGAACATTTTACCGCGATTACAACTAATGAATGATTATTTAGATTTTTGCCCTCCTAGTTCATCTACTAGTCACCTCCACATATAATACATATACTAAAATACTTACATTAGAACATCAACAGTGTTCTTGTCAGCATTTCTTTAAAATATTTCTTTTCCCTTTACTCCTTTCCAATTAATCTGTTTGAGAAAACCACTGAATGTATATTCCAAGATTGAACAGTAAATACTATTAACAGAATGTTATCTGTGAACGTTGCTAAAATAAGGATGAAAGAGCACTGTATGCAGATCAGTGGTGAAGTTACTAGTACAGCAGAGCTGACCGGAAGTCAGACAAAATGTAAAAAGTAGTAAAAACACACAAAACATTTTATACATTTGACAGTTATGTGTAACGTTACCTGTATCTATATAATCATATGAAAAGGACAACAAAAAAATTAAGACCTTTGTAAATAAATGTAAGAGACTTATTTTGAGAATATTAAATTCAATGAGTTTTTAAATTATTTTAAGACCCAGTGGGTAACGTTACCCTGCATGACAAATGACCCCAGGAGCTCAGCTCTGCTAATGTTACAGGTTTGCACTGCATTGTGATTTTGGAACAAACCCCAGTGGTAGTAACGTTATGTACAAAGCCAGCAACAACAAGAGAAAATGTGAGGCAAATTAAAAAGAACGAGTAATGCTGATTGTACCACTTCCAGCCATCTCAGTGTACTGATATCATGAACCTCATTGTAATTTTTAACTGTAAAATTTGATGAATTACTGAGAACCATCAGCCTCTAGACAAAATAACATTTCTTACAGCTCCTGACAGAAATCTGAGGGTAAACACTTGGTAAGCTTAACATAGCACACTATATCCCTCGGAAAACGCCCCAAATAAATATCCAGAATGAATCAGGAACTGCTCCTCAACCATATACCGCAGTGTGATTTCATACAAAGTCAATGAAAAGACACGTAGAGAGGAGATTTCCCGCCCATAGACCTTATTTGTCATAATGAATTTACGTTTTGATTAATGTCAGATGAAAATTCCAACTTCTTTAGATGGCTTTGATTTTTTAAACACTTAACTTACCATAACTTTATAACGTTATGCTCAACTATAGCCAAGATCAAATCAAAGCCAGAAAAAATACTTACATTAACTTAACTTACCCTATTAATCCAGGGCTGAAGAAAAGATTGAACCTAAAAAGGAGACAGGTGCTGTCAGTTGGTGCTGTTGGAAACTAACGTTACAGCATCGTTGTAAATTAACTAACGTTAAACAGCATTAATGTTTTATGCTAGCTGCACACAAAGTTGTTTATTAATGCTAGCTAGCTTAGCTATCCGTTCATTCAGTTAATTTAGCTAACCCAGCTAAAAAGCTAACGTTAGCCAATGACTCTTCAACAGTTTTAGCCATTTTAAGAAGTTAAAACCCGGTCAAAACATTCCGATGTGACGATGTTAACAAGCATTACACCACTATTAAAAACAATCACACTAAACTGTTTGACTGTAACATCGTTCAACTTACTGTTATAAACTCTGTCCACAAAGCCTCCAGTCCGAACTGATCCAAAGAAAGAAACAGTTCGCGCGCTCGTTCCGACGAGTCCGGGCCAGAACTATTATGATTCCGCCGACTGATGGAGGCTCACGCCCGATCCTGAGTGCACACAGACTACATGCGGGCCGTATCCGGAACGGGGCAGTAAAACGGGCGTGACTGTTACACGGATCTGCCGGTTTGGAGGCGGATTCGGCCCAGAGTCAGCTGCTATCTGGGTAACCAGCCTAGTTCAAATGAATGAAATGACTCAAAAAAGATTAGTTCATTTTAATGAACGAGATTTGAAGATTCGAGTCTGTCAAAAGAGTCGAACTTGCCATCACTACTGCCGGATAACAAAAAATGGGCAAAGAGGCGGGTTGTGAGTAGAGCTGAGGTTGTAGGAATCACGCCCGCCTAGTTTGACATGACCAAGTTAGCTGAGGCTAAGAAGCTAAGGCTAAACTAATGTAACAAACAGCTGAAATATTAAACAAGTGAAGTTTATTATTTCCTAGAAGCTTTGAATCTTTGTCCTTGTTTTCCAAATGTGTCCCCAGTCTGTCCGTCCTCTACTCAGACTGTGTCTGAACTACTTCTACTGAGGAAAGAGTCCCTACAGTATGAAACTGCTTTACTTCTCAGAGAGACAAATGAAGCTGCTGGATCTGCATGGACAGACACCACGAGAGGGGAGAGGACACATGTTGGTCTCTGCTGTCCATCCGTCCACACAGTAAACTACAGTGCTGGACAGGAACAGAGGTCAGAGGTGGAGACTCTGTTCACAAGTCAGCTCATAATAAACTTTAGGAGGTTACAAATTCTGTAATTCGGCTGAGTCAAATTCTACAACATATATTTGAATCAATAATATAATGAATATGTCGTAAACAACACACCACACAACAAGCTGCAGCGATGAGTCGACGCACGTTATGTGAATCGTATTTCCGTAATTGATGACATGTATGAATCACACACACACACACACACACACACACACACACACACACACACACACACACACACACACACACTCCTCTTACCTTGACACAGAACCAAGATCCATGAACATGTGAACAAAGCCAGGAATGGTGCTGATGTTAAAGCGACCATGACAGCAGAGCTGATGAACCTGACATCAGACTTTGTCCTGCTCTGTAGTTTCTGTTGACAGCTGACCACCTATGGTGATCAACAGTGATAACCTCTTGATCGCTGAATGTCAGGTTGAGTCAGACATTTAGCAGCAGAGATGATAAATGTGAAACAAGACTGACCTGTTCTTTCTGTTTTGTAGATGTTTTACTCTTTGACAGTGGACCCGCCCCACTGAGGGAGTGGGGAAGGTGTCATGTGGTTATAAAGAAAGCTGAACTGTTTGCTACATGACGTGCACATAGGCCCTTTAGCATATTGTTGGGATCACAGGGGCCTCATGGAGCTGAGGTTGTTTATTTGTGATCTTGCTGAACTTTTGTGTCCTCAGACACCTCACTGATTAAAACAGCAGCATAAGCTCACTTCCCTTTGGCTCTACTCCCCACCTGGACGGACCCTGGGGCCACAACGGCTTCCCAGTCTGGCCTGCTGAACCCAGTTCAGTTAACTCTGAGGAGAACAGGCAGAGCAGCCAGACCCTCTCATCTGTTTCATGACAAAGCAAAGAGTGCAACTAAACAATTGTAATCCAGATTTAAACAAAATGTGAAATCCGATTGGCTAGTGTTGATTTCTAACAATGTGATTGGTTTAGATCTGTCACTTGGTGTAATTTGACACTTCCTACTTTAGCTTTCTGTAGGTGTTTCTGTCTGTTTCTGTGTGAAAGTGTGTCGGTTCAAACATCAACAAACTTTTACTCAGAAATCAGATCTGATGTGTTTGAGATGTTACATATTGTTGTTGTTAAGAATTTGATTCCATACTATGTCTGTAAATTATAAACATTGATGCAATGAAAATGTGTAGAACTCTACAGTACTTATCTTTACAGGATGTTTTTTCAAAATGAGTTTTTCCTCATAATCTGAGCCTAAAATTTCCAGTTATAATTTTTTGTATGCCTGTTGATTTATGAAATAATAAAAAGAGATATCCAAAATCCCCTTTGTAAAACATTTACGTATAATGTGCCAACAAAATAAAACAATTTTGACTTAAACTACGATGGATTGGCGACCTGTTCAGGGTGTACCCCGCCTTTCGCCTGATGTCTGCTGGGATAGGCTCCAGCCCCTGTGACGCAGGATAAGCGGTTGACAATTGATGGAATTTTGATTTATTTCAGGGTTCAGATTTTAGTTCTTGAAGTTGATGCAAATTAGCGCATATTTTATTACATACTGCCTCATTTGCATATTTAAACATAACATTACAGAAAACCTGTAATACAGAAAAATATTGTCTTAATGTAAGTAATCAACGAGGAATGTTTCATAGTGATCTATTTGGGTTTTTTAAACACCTGCCATCTCTCACCTTAATTATTAAATAATAATAATAATAATAATAATAATACATTATTTAAGATAAATATTGATGCCATCTAAATATCCAACACAGTGATGTCCCTGTGTGAGACAAAGTAATGGTGCCGCCTCTTAATTTTCTATAGTATTGAGAGATTAACAACAAAAAATATAGAAACTACAAAATTGTTTGATGACTAATGATATTAAGGGCTACAGAAGGTGGACACAATAACATTCACGTTATAATATGATTCAAATATCCAAAGGAAAATAGGAATTAATCCACTGTTTGTCCTTAAGGCACACTTCAGTGTGCTCTACAAAACAACAAAAGTAGCCTAATGTTAAAAATGCTGGGAACGATTTGAGAAAGAATATATAGTTTGCATATAAAGTACAAGTTATAGTCTATAAACCTGGATTCATTACATTTATTCATTTAGCTGACGCTTTTATCCAAAGCGACTTACAATTGCTATAGATGTCAAAGGTCGCACGCCTCTGGAGCAACTAGGGGTTAAGTGTCTCAGGGTCACAATGGGGGATTGAACCTGGGTCTCTCACACCAAAGGCATAGTCTTATCCATTGCGCCATCACCACCCCCTCATGGCAAAATTGTTATCCATGAAAAAAGCTAAAATACCCAGCTTTTATATAAAACTGCTAAAGTACTATTTTATGCATTTATTTTAGAAAATATATCCTAAATCACATGACGGGAAGGAAAATAGAGAAGATATTGTGGTAACATGCTGTCATAAAAAGTCTTAAAACGTAATAAATTTAGGCCATTAAAAAGTCTTAATCGCTATTAATTTTGTAGATATTTTGTTGATGTGAAATTTCCTGTTCGCCCAAAGAGTATGTCTGCTAAAACTGCAGGTGAATTGATTCATTTTTTTTGCATAGCCAAAAATACCAGCGCAGCAGTCTTAAAATATGTTGAAAAAGTCTTGAAACAGGTCTTAAAGGTTTTGAATTTTACTTCAGGTTTCCTGTATATACCCTGGGTAAGGTAGGTCAGTGATGACAGCAATAGAAAGCACCACCTCACGTATAATCAGAATATCCTAAGATAAGATCAGATATTGTTACGATGGTGTGGTGTGGGGACAGAGAGGACCCGAACGCAACTCTCAAAGGGAAGGAGGTTTATTGAAGGAAAAAGGGGGTGATGGACTGGAGTGGAGGGAGAGGTGGATGCCGGGGAGAAATGGGCACGGGGAACCGAGGAGACTGGGACCAGAGAGCCGGGGGACACTGGGGCCGAGGAAGAGAGGAGGCACAAGGAGAACAGGGAGGACGCCGTGGGGAAAGTCCGGAGAGGAGAGGACCGGAGGACGAGCCCAGCCAACAGAATAGAGGATGAGGGGGAGTGAACCTGGGAGGGAAACAGACAGAAAGACAGGGTTAGTGACACTGCAGGGACAAAGCACAGGGAAATAAACAAGTTGCTGAATGAGTGCGCAAGCTTGAGAGGTCGAGTGGCAAGGACGATCAAGCCAGGATGGAGTGGAGAGCCGGGGCAGAAATACTGTGGGAGATGAGGCTGACTATTGGCAGGTGTGGCAGGCAGAGGAGGTGGCTGGGAGAGAGAGGGAGAGCACACACAGGGGAGGAGACACAGGGGGGCAGGCAGAGAACAGAGAAAACCAGGGAAGAAACAGAATCACAGACAAAAAAGGGTGAAAAAACCAGGACACTCACCGTCAGCCGGGCTGCCACCACAACAGATATAACTTTATCAATCTGCTGTAGGGGAAATTTACTTTGACATAGCAGCACAGAAATGTAGAAATGTAAAAGAACAGAAGCAGTAATGTACAATCAGTAACATTCAACATAGATGTTTAAATATAAATAAACTGTATACTCACGATATACGATCGTTATACAATTAACATTCTAAGTGGATGCACCAGCCAGCAGCTAAAAGCAGTGAGTGGAAATGGAAAATACACAATGTACATTCCTCCTTCTCAAGAAGAACTGGATACAATTCCTTTACCACCAGAAACAAAGAAATTTGAGAAGCCCAAAGCCCAGTGCAAAGAAAACAATAATTGAGTATTGTTTTTTCCTGATATGTATATGAAATTGTTTTGTTTCCACAGCCTTATTAACATTGACAGTCTGGAACATACTACTGTACGACTCAACAAGGCTCGGCCAGCAACTGTTGAAGCCTGGAAAAACTTTTAATCCAATCTTATTTTTTGGAAAAGAGTCAATAGCTGAAGGACTCAATTGTACACCTGCTACTGAATTATTTCACTCTAATATAGTTGTAATGCTCTTGTGTTGTAAGGTATTTTCATTGTACCACTTCTGTAATGGATGTCCATGGATATGTCTGTATCCCCCCCACCACCTTCATATCACTAAAACTGTTGTTCACAAAAAAAATGGTTTTGCTTCAGATTCCAGTAAACATTAAGGAATGCAAGAAAGAACTTGTAGATTTTTGTGATTCTGCTGAAGAACTTTGTTAAACCATATTCTTTTAGGCTTTATTTCAGGATAATTTGTATTGGAAAATGACACATCATTGTGGATTGTGCTATAAAGTGTGGTTATTCTATTTCATTCCAAGGAAAGCTGTAGAAAAGAAAAGGTAAGATATTATGTGACATTATGTGCTGTTTCCCATTAGCACTCACAAAGTGCAGGTATTTTTTTGCACCAACTGCAGGTCAGGGTGGTGCACATGTCACTTTGCTGGTGCTCTAAATAAGGCCCTACAAGTTGAGTATCCTGTGTGCAAAAATACATTTCACCCTGACATCATTGAGATCCATGCAGCTAGTTGCAGATTACAGAACTGTTGGTTTCAGTGTTACTTTATTTTTATGTATACCACGTTAATTTGACCATAAATTACACGTAAGGAGATTGTCTATGTATGTATGTGATTGTTTATTGTGTTAAGGTAACTTAGGACAATCTGTTTTCTTTATGACCTCATTGGTGGCATTGTGACCTGCAGATACACTGGAATCGTGTCTCTGGATAAAAAAAAGACAGCATGATAAGGTAGGTTGTTAACATTTTTGTTTTTCATTACAGCAAAGGAGTATTGTACAACAATTTGTGACTTGATTTAGCATACTTGTTGGTTCTGAAAAATATGGATTGCCAATCATTTGGAATCTTTGTAAAACAACTTTAAATGTCACCAAAGTATAATTTAACAAAGTGGTGATGGCTACTTTTCTCTAAACTAAACACGATTGTACCATACCTGATGAAACACTTTTGTATTGCCCATTAGAGCTGTTACACTTCACACCACCATAAGACTCATCCCGATGCTCCACCACCTTGGAAAAGGCCTGCAGCTCTATGATCTACCAAAGATTATGAAGACCCATCAAGACCTTTGCCAACCATTGTTTGTTACAGGGGAAGTGTGGCCGTTCTGATAAAAGTTCAATTAAAAGGGTTTAACTAAAAATATATTTAAACGGCATCCAGCCAACAACATTAGAAAAAATGAGTGTGGCTGATACACATTAAAAATTCTCAATTAAAAAAATGTAAGTAACATATGTTGAGAGGGCACGCCGACAACGCCACCTAGGGATAGCTACCCTGAGCCCTAGGACTCACAGACACACAGGTTCTTTAAAGCGGCTTCTCCCACGGTTGCCCGCCGCTGCTTCATCTTAGCTGCTGCGCCGGTTCCATCCGACCGCACCTGTTACTCGTTGTCTATTTACCACGTCAGCAGTGGTGTGCGGCATTCACAGACAGTCTTGCCAGTAGTA